TTTGTAGGCCTCATTCCGTTTTCGGTAAACAGTAGAATGATGTGCTTTACCGAAAAGCTCTATCTTGGTCTCATCTGTCCACAAGACGTTTTCCCAGAAGGCTTTTGGCTTACTCAAGTACATTTTGGCAAACTGTAGTCTTGCTTTTTTATGTCTCTGTGTCAGCAGTGGGGTCCTCCTGGGTCTCCTGCCATAGCGTTTCATTTCATTTAAATGTCGACGGATAGTTCGCGCTGACACTGATGCTCCCTGAGCCTGCAGGACAGCTTGAATGTCTTTGGAACATGTTTGGGGCTGCTTATCCACCATCCGGACTATTCTGCGTTGCAATCTTTCATCAATTTTCCTCATCCGTCCACGACCAGGGAGATTAGCTACAGTGCCATGGGTTGCAAACTTCTTGATAATGTTGCGCACTGTGGACAAAGGCAAATCTAGTTCTCTGGAGATGGACTTGTAACCTTGAGATTGTTGATATTTTGCCACAATTTTGGTTCTCAGGTCCTCAGACAGTTCTCGTCTCCTCTTTCTGTTGTCCATGCTTAGTGTGGCACAGACAGACACACAATGCAAAGGTTAAGTGAACGTCTCTCCTTTTTATCTGCTTTCAGGTGTGATTTCTATATTGCCCACACCTGTTACTTGCCCCAGGTGAGTTTACAGGAGCATCACATGCTTGTAACATTCTTATTTATCCGCAGTTGTGAAAGGGTGCCAATACTTTTGTCCAGCCCATTTTTGGAGGTTTGTGTGACATTATGTCGAATTTGCTTTCTTTCCTCCCTTTTTTTGTTTTGTCCCAATACACACAAAGGGAATAAACATGTGTATAGCAAAACATGTGTTAATGCAATACGTTTCGTGAGAAATACATGATTTCCTGGAGAAATATCAAGGGTGCCAACAATTTCGGCCATGACTGTATAACATGCATTTACAGTTTGTAATTTTGATCCATCTTCAGTAAAGTAAACAGCAGCATCCTATTTGATGATAAAATAGGACAGTTGCACATGCTGCATTCCACGTGACATATTCAAGAATGTCAACTGAGACCTGTATTATGTTCCTTGTGCTGATTCTTGGTGGAGTTGGGGTTAAAGGATAACTTCACTTAAAAAAAATAAATAAATAAAAATATCAATGCACATATTATTCTTATTTTTTTTTTGTAGGTAAAATGCTGCTCATTTCCGATTTTTATTTATTTTGGGAGCCTGAAAAAGTATTGCACCAGCGATCAGCAGATCACTATTGCCATGCAGGACTCAAATGTCAATGTATCTGTGGGCAAGCAGTGAACTACCACAGAGCTCAACAGTGGTGTGGTATTTCATTGAGAACTACAAGTCGACAGCTGCAAACGCTTTGGGGACTTTTAGTTCATTCATTCACAGAACTCTGTGAGTGAATGACATGGCTGTGTGTCCCTTGTGCTGATTTTCTACTATATATATATATATATATATATATACTGTATATTATATTTTTTTTTTTTTCTTTTACCCTGAAATCTGATATCTCTCTCTTGGAGGCAACTTGAATTTTGAGGGACCAGTTTCTGGAGCTGTGCATGTAGTCTAAAATTTTAAAAAACATTTTAGTTTAAAACAAAGTCCAGATTTTCTACAACATTTGAGTCTAGGAGATGGTAAATGGCTCAGTCACACCCTAAAGCACAGATTAGGATAGGGCCATTTGGGGGTTAGCTTACAAGGTGATTGTAATTATTTTTCATTGAAGAATCCCTGTTGGTTATAACAAATTGATTCTGATAACAAGTGGCAACCTGCCATATTCTCCCCCCCACCTCTCAGAAGGTAAAGCTTTGCCTTGCATAAGTATGTTAAGGTGCTGAAAACGATAAGTTGATGATTTACCTGTTACTAAATTGACATCTGTTTATGGCAAGCCTAAGTCAACAGGTTTATCTAAGCAGTAAATCAGGGTTGACCACAGACCCATTGATATGCTGCTGTTTAAGCTGAAGAAGACCATGCACTCCAAATTGAATCTGCTTTATATATCTAAATGACCCAACATGCTTCCAACCCACTGCAAATTTCGAATCGGCAACAACAAAATATTATTGGTTTTAGGTTTTCAATTAAATCACATTTCATTGGTTAAACATATGAGACACTTGGTAAATTTGCCCAAAGAATGAGTCTTTATCATTTTTTTTTCCCAAATATTCATCAATGATATGGCGAACTAAAACTCTGTGACTGTTAAATAACTTTGATTTCAAAAGGGCAGGATACAAAGCCTGATATGACAACCAGATCAATTTATATGACTATATACACATTAGCTGATGTATCCTATATAAATCCCAAGTTTAGGCCCATAGCTCAGTGTCTATAGGCACAGAATCTGCACACATGACCACATCCGGTTTAGATTTAAAGATTCATTTGTATAGGGTGGTCTAACACAATGTTTCACCATGTTGCATATATTTCCTCCTGGTTCCACTGCATTCTATCTATCTAGCGATGTTGCACTGGCCTCTTGGACGTTTCACTGGAATTTCTTTGCCGTATATCAGTTTAGATATAGAGACGAAATCTCAAGGCTTTTCTTTCCTACAGACTATTCAAATGTGGCCAATATAGGCAGAGACAGGTAACCCAGCTCTATATTTTGATCATTTGAGGAAGCCCCCAAACGTGAATAGAAACATAGATATATCCTTAGTTGGAATCTGAGCAAACAAGTATAATAACTGCCTTCTAAAAAATGAACCTTTTGTCAAATACTATGTTTTCAGAGCCACACATAACTTTAGAATGGTAATACCATCACCCTAAGGCAGGTGCGTGTGTGTGTGTGTGTGTGTGTGTGTGTGTGTGTGTGTGTGTGTGTGTGTGTGTCAAGTATCAGTTACCCATTCACACTGGAATGCGGTGCGGAACCCACGTTCTGTGCGTGTTTCCCGCACCATGTTCAGATTGCATTGGTTGTCCGATCTGCAGTTGGAGTCAATAGATTCCTACAACACCCGTAACACAGATCACAAATGCGGTGCGTTTGCCAGCACTGGATTGCATGGTACAGCAGCGACATGCAATCCTGTTGTGCATTTTTTAAAAGTTGTGCATGCATTACTATTGGTGCAATTTGCAGCTTATACGATGTGACATTCAGCCCATTAATGTGAACGCAATTTAGTGCGATGAGTGCTTGATCTGTTATTTTCAGGAGGGTATTCGTAGCATAGATCCATTAGATCTGGTGGGGGTATCAAGGAATACTGAATACTGCTTTTACATCCCTAATCTCCTACAGATAGATTAATGTGCTGACAGTCTGAGAATCTGGGGCAGAGATAGGTGTGGCTATTCCTGATGGTCCATCATGGGGCCAGTATTCATACAGCAGCAAATGTGACGTTGCTGCAGTAATCCCACTACAGAAGGAAGGTCTTCATCACCTTAGCCAATGATTCTTTTGGCAGGATAAACGAGTATTTAAAAATGTTCCAGGAGATGCTTAGAAATACAGCAAGCCCTGACTTATTGGAATTGGCAGTCTGATCACATTTGTAATTGTATGGCACAGCATCCTGCAACATAGGCAACGCTTCTTGATTATAGTAAAAAGCTGCTAAGCGAGCGCCACCTTTAGCTATAGAGAATAAAAATCAAGCTGCTGGAACACCAAAAAAGGTAACCAAAAAAAACCTCCAATATAATATGTATCACAGTAATAGGTGCAGCGCTAATAAATGGATATATTATATATACTGTATAATACAATATCAGCAAGTGCAAAAATGAATATCACTTGATGCTGATTTTTAGTGACTGAACAGTTCAAAGTGATAAAATTGTGTGGATCCTGAGGGATCACAATTTCAGGTGCACGGATGTCTTGGTCCAAAAGTGATAGGTGATGTGACTCAAATGAATGAAATACGCACTCACCAGAAGTGTGTTTAAAATACGCAGTATGAAATCCTGCATCAAGCAATGAGAAGGTCATCTGTTTCCAGGTCAGATCACATCATAAATCACCATCCAGGTACATCAGCATGTAGGATTCCCTGGTCCGTTAGCATGTATCACCCTCTAGGATCCTCTTTTGTTGTATGGGCACTGCGAATGAAGGCACTCACACGGAGAGCCCAATAAGAGACCACATAGCGTGATACTGTATAAAGTACCTTTATTCCAAATAATGGGTACAATCAATAAGCTAAAAAGAAAGGTACTGACCATGTGTTCCAGATTGCCACCTGTGGTGGTCAGATGTCCAGTTGCTGTAGCCCCCCTGACGCGTTTCGTGCGATGCACATAGTCATAGGGAGAAAGGGCTTACCTTACCTTACATGCTGATGTACCTGGATGGTGATTTATGATGTGATCTGACCTGGAAACAGATGACCTTCTCATTGCTTGATGCAGGATTTCATACTGCGTATTTTAAACGCACTTCTGGTGAGTGCGTATTTCATTCATTTGAGTCACATCACCTATCACTTTTGGACCAAGACATCCGTGCACCTGAAATTGTGATCCCTCAGGATCCACACGATTTTATCACTTTGAACTGTTCAGTCACTAAAAATCACCATCAAGTGATATTCATTTTTGCACTTGCTGATATTGTATTATACAGTATATATAATATATCCATTTATTAGCGCTGCACCTATTACTGTAACGCCTCTTGATTGTGTAAGCTCTTTATTCAAAATAAGAATGCTCTTTATTTTGGTATAATGATTTAACAGGTGTAGCACATGCAGCCATTAGGATGTTTCTTCGGCGTCCTGTGATGCTGCTGGACCTTTATTGTGATACTCCACAAATTCAAGACTGTAGGTATTTTTTTTTTTTCTGTAAAAGATTGCGATACAAGTCTCAAGATTACTGTATATAGTATGGGATATTATGTTCTAAATATGGTTTCTATAAATAGAAATTCTTTTTCTCCATCGGGATTATCTTTTTAAATCACTCAACTTTTTTTTTTAAAATGTCATTTCATTGTAGGCAGACAAAAGAGCACATCACAATGCGCTGGAGCGTAAACGCAGGGACCATATCAAGGACAGTTTCCACAGTCTAAGGGACTCAGTACCTTCACTCCAAGGAGAAAAGGTGAGCTTGCTTATGGTTTCATTTTTCTAAATGGGGGGAGAAAAAAAGAAATTGTGACCCTGTATCCATACCAGTGCAATTGGCGAACATGAGCATTTACTAAACAGGGTACCAGATTGTAAATACTTAGGGGGTTATTTTCTAAACCTGCATGGTGCAAAATCTGGTGCAGCTCTGCATAGAAACCAATTGGCTTCCATGTTTTATTGTCAAAGTTTTAATTGAACAAGCTGAAGTTAGAATCTGGTGCAGCTGTGCATGATAACCAGTCAGCTTCTGAATTGCTCCAGTTTTAGTAAATCTCCCCGTTTGGTGTTCGGTTTATGCTTTTTTTTTTTTTTTTCTTTTTTTTTGTTATGTTCCTTAAACTGTTGCTTTGTGTGTAGCACATGATGTATGTGCAGCGGCAGTAGGCTGAACTTTATGCCCTTACACAACACATGTCCCTCAGGCATACAGACCCTAGTAAAGGGCTGGGTGGAAAGGGGTTAAATGGGTCTTAATGGCTTGATTTATTCAAGCTGATATGTGCAAAGAATTAACCAGCTTCGGACTGCTCATTCTAGGTATACTGCTACAGGGTGTCCCGATTGCCCTGGATCACGTGTATGGGGCCCATGGCATGGTAGCAGCTTTGCCCCCCCCCCCCCCTTCTCTTTTGATTATTGATGAGTATTGCTATAGGTGCAGAAAAACCGCCACATTTGCATTGTCTGTACTGTTGCAGGTATAGCCTGCCCTAATTGCCTACAAATGCATCCTTCCTTATGAAATGATGGCAGGTTCACAACTTGGTTCAGTTGTGCTCGCCCTGGTTCACACCTCAACGCTGTGTCTTGGCAGGAACCTAGCACATAGAAAACAACCGTTATTTTCTATGTTCCCTAGTGCTGAGCTTGTGTGCAGATCAATGCAGCTCAACAATGGTATGAATGAGCCATTAATCTTCCTTTTTATATAATTTACCACTTGGACTTATTGGTTTAAAGTTTTTCACTTTCATTGTATTAACCTTTTTGTTGTTTTTTGGCACTACTTAAACCTTTTACCAGCAAGAACGCTTTTTGACTTTGAGGAATTGAGTAAAGACTGTTCTTCCATATATAATTGAGAGGACAAACATATTGATAGTAAAAGGATTTGATGTATCACAATTTAATGTTAGAACATTTTACTTTCTTCATTGCTGATGTTTCCTAGGGTTCTATATTAGTAGATTTCAACCACGACAGCTTGACTTAACCACATTTTGATTGCAGGCAGAATTCAGCATATCTTCAGGCTGTAACACTGCTATATAAAATTCCAAAATGTAATAAAGAAATAGGAATAAAACCCCGCCCAAAAGAACATATTTTCTGATCTCTGTAGCTAAATCAGATTTTATTCAGGTGTACTCAGATTTAATACAGTAAAAACCAAAAATGTGATTTTTTTTTTTTGTTTTTTTTTTTTGTGGTGTTTTTTTTGTTTTTCGCCTTTCTACACTTTTGGATAGAGTAGTGAAGGGCTAAAAACCCTGTCACTTTATTGTTGACATAGATGGGAATGGCCAGATCGGAAAGGATGAACAGACTGTAAATGTCTTCATTTATAATTGTGGAGCCTTTTCAAGGAATGAATATGTAAATACGTGCTCTAAAAGTCTGTGCAAACGTGCAAATAAAAGTTAAATAAAGCGCAACACGTGTATTCCCACCGGGAATATTCAAAGTGTCATAGTGATCACAGCAAACAATCTCTCAAAATCACTCAAAATAAGTCCATATGTAAATAGTGTCCAGAAAAAACGCAATCTTCAGGCATGTGATGACAAGTGTCCACATTGTGTGAATCCAAACAATGGCTACAGTGGCCCCTCACCTCATTACATTGACCACAGGGTCAGCTCGCCTTAGGATAAAAACACCACTCTGATGCATCACCGGATCCTCCCCAGAGTCATATACTCTGTCAGCAGCTTCCTCCCCGGTTCATATATAAACAGAAAGCTTTCATAGTGTAAAACTGTATTTATTCAATCTATTTATAATAAAAATGCCCACTCACATTTTAAATCTTCAATATCAGGCTCCTATACCTCATGCTATGAGTGCCTTGCATGGGTATTTGATATAGGGTTTTGAAATATGGCCGCCACGCCGGAAATGACGTCACCGCGCTCCCAGAATCCTCCTCGCGTACCATAGGTAGTGGTTTATATTTTGAGTGATTTTGACAGATTGTTTGCTGTGATCACTTTGACACTTTGAATATTCCTGGTGGGAATACACGTGTTGCACTTTATTGAACTTTTATTTGCACGTTTGCACAGACTTTTAGAGCACGTATTTACATATTTATTACCTTTTTATGTTATTTAAGGTTTAGCGCTGCACTTTGTATTTATTGTTTATTCACTCACTTTGGTAGGAGGTTAAGTGTCAGCAGCTATTGAGATAGGGCCCCATTTCTAGCGCAGGAGGTCCGTTCCTTAGTTTTCAAGGAATGGTTTTTTGGTTATTTTTATTAGGTAATTTACAGAACAACTTTAATTGTTCTTTTGTTTTTAGTTCATTTTGTATTCTTTTCAAAGATAAATATAGGCTTTTTTTTTTTTTGCCCTTCTTGCCTTTCATTAAGGCTTCACGGGCGCAGATCCTGGACAAAGCAACAGAGTATATACAGTACATGAGAAGAAAAAATCACACACACCAGCAAGATATTGATGACCTAAAGAGACAGAATGCTCTGTTAGAACAGCAAGGTAAGAAGAATTTGTGTCATGTTTACCTTAATCTTTGTTTTTAGCACTTTGCAAATTATTAGACTGGCCAGGGCTATGAAGCTTCCTTTCCCTCGACCACAGGTTTAAGGAAAGAAAATCGCTTGATTTCCCCTAATTAACACAGTTAAGATGGATGGGAAATCTGTCCCACTGCGCTATTGTATTCTGGAAATAATTATTGTATTCTGTCAGCGGGAGGTTTGGCCTCTGTCAGAATACAATGATCACTGGCAGCCACCAGCAGTGAGCACACTACAAACAAAAACCAACAGGCCAGGCCCATAGGTGGATCACAATTCAACCCGTTCTTCTTGAATTTCGATCCGTCTATGGCCAGCTTTAATGGTGCACTTTTTTGCTAAGAATTCAAAATTTGGCCATAGATATGAGATGGGTAATCGCACATGCATCATCGGATTGCAGACCTTTTACATAGCTTGCTTAAGTTTAAAAATGTGCTTTAATTGCATTGGAAAATATGTACATTTTGGCAGTATTCATTTTGACCCAACATGGAAGGCGAAATTGAATTGCTTTTTGTAGTTTCTAAGGGTGTGGTGGGCTTTAAGTGCCTCCTGAATGTTGGAAGCTTGCAACTATCTGGGACCTGTTCTTATGCCAAAAAGGCAGCTCATCAGCTTGAAACGTGGCATATTATAACTGTTGCCCTCATGCTGTGCCAGTTGCTTGCTTATTGTTTTGATTGCCATTTCTTACCCACCTTTTTTTACATACACCTATGTTGTTATCTGTGTGTTTTATGAATGTAATTTTATTGCTCATGTTTTACAACGATTTGGCCATTTTGTTGTTTGCAGATTCTCCTATATTAGCTTATTGCATATTTTCTTGATTGCCCCCCCCCCCTTCAGTTTAGAGTTGTCCTTCGCAGAATCACTTCTCTATAAGCTGTTCCCAGTCTCTTTTGAAAGGTTGAGCACATATGAGTGCACTGTCATGATGTCACCATGATGCCCTTCATTTACCCTGTACTAGTGCAGAGTGTGGTACTGCTGATGTTACGTCATTGTCACTCTGCGCATCCATATTGGATCACCCAGCCCAGAAAAGAGTAGATCAAAAGGACCCTGTAGGGCCATATGACGGCATACTTACCTTTTGCAGATCTTTTAAGACCAAACAATAAAATTGTGTCTCTAAGTATACTAACATGTTTGAGACCCTGCAGCAAGCTTCTTTACATTAGTTCCCCCTACAGAACCCCTCCACAATAATTGTGGGCTTTCATCCTTAATTGGTCTCCCTTCTTGTACGCTTACAACCTCCCAGGTTTCTCTCATTCTAGGGATCTTTTGAAAACCTCCATATCCGCTAAATAATTTTTATTTTGTCCTGCAGTTCGTGCTCTGGAGAAAGCAAAATCAAATTCAAGGCTTCAGTCCAGCTATTCTTCTTCTGACAGCAGCCTTTACACCAATCCCAATGGCAGTGCCATATCCGCCTTTGATGGAGGATCTGATTCCAGCTCAGAATCAGAACCAGAAGAGCCTCAAAGCAGAAAGAAACTACGGATGGAAGCAAGTTGAGCAAAACAAAGCAATAAAGAGAGCATCCTATACCATCCTAAACTTATTTAGCCCCCCTCTTAACCCTTAATTAGGCCCTGCTCAGCTCTTTTAAGGACTTTTTCCCTGTTATCTTTAGTTTATTGGACTCTGTTTGATTTCTTGTTTCTTAATGTCATTGTTCCCTCTCTATTAAAATATTAAAGTAACATCCAAGGGCTTGCCAGGTTAAGACTCTGTGCAAGTAAAATGTGGTGCTGTACTGGAGTGCAGCCTTTTTGACGAAGATTTGCAGTCACATTCGTCTATAAAATTATTTTTAACTGCATTGCGATATTTGTGTTTCCTAATTTTTTTTTTTTTTTTTTTTTTTACATGTTACAGATTTTAAACACGGTGTTTATTTATTAACACCTTTTTTTCATTTTTAATTCTCGGATTATGAGAATGCATATGTGTAAACAGCTCGTTTTTTGGTAAGTGTGACCCATGGATTTTCTATGAATATGTTGCATAGATCTGATTGTTTTCTGCATCAACTTTCTGTCATGAATAACTGTCAGGCGGCACATGTATAAACTTGGCCACAATATAATCTGTTTGCACAGTCTTCTTTAGATTTTCCAAAACTGTTGTGTGATGTCTTGCCTTATTGACCCTCATACTACATAGCTATTGGTAAACCCAAAGGAGATTGTATTAGAATATAAAAGAAAACTTACTGTGATGTTATTACGTCAAAATGAAAAAAAAATAAATCCATCCAGCTTTCATAGTAAAGTGTATTTAAGCACAAAAAATAAAATTGTAATATATTGCAGCTTACCAGTCTGTATATGTGGGGGCTGCATTAGTGTTTTTTTTTTTTTTTTTTTTCTTCTCTCTCTCTCCAAAGCTTGTTTACTTTTTTACCTGGTGATTTTGATAGTAACACACCTTCAGTGCTAAGATTACCACACTGGCTCGCCCTATTGTATCAGAACAAGAGAAACAGGATAGACGACAGGTGTCCACCCTGCTGCTATTGGCTTCAAGGGCCCATTCCCACCAGAAACTGCAAGTAGCTGCATGTTTGTTTGGTTTCCCCCTTGTACTCATGCATGCATTTGATGCGCATTTTCTTACATGCAGTTGATGCATGGTTTTCTATATGCATTTGTCCTGTGAGGTCACGTCCTTCTTTCCTTGGGCTTCTATGTACACTGTGATCCATTGCATTGTGTTTTCGGTGTGGAAAAGTGCAGCATGCTGTACTTTTATGCACTGCAATGGTGTGAACTATGCCCATAGGATAGCCTGAATTTTGGACTGTCTATGCAGTTGAAGTTCAGTCCAAACTGCAACCAACTGCGTTCAGTGTGAAAGAGCCCTAACAGAGCGATGTGGTTGTGTTTTCCTCAGATATGGCAGAGAACATGGGAAGTTATTCACTTCCAAGGTTTCTTGCAAGATCCTGCAGGTATGTTTTTGCAATTACCAAACAGATATAATGAAATGCTTTTAATGGTGTATATTATTTTTATTTATTTAATTGGAGAAGCTGCAAAATAAGGTTACACTCCGTGTCAGTTGAATAGGATACAGTAATTGAGTATGGGGGATATACAGTGGGGATCAAACGTTTGGGCACCCCAGCTAAAAATTTGTATTAATGTGCATAAAGAAGCCAAGGAAAGATGGAAAAATCTCCAAAAGGCATCAAATTACAGATTAGACATTCTTATAATATGTCAACAAAAGTTAGATTTTATTTCCATCATTTACACTTTCAAAATAACAGAAAACAAAAAAATGGCGTCTGCAAAAGTTTGGGCACCCTGCAGAGTTAATATCTTGTACTGCCCCCTTTGGCAAGTATCACAGCTTGTAAACGCTTTTTGTAGCCAGCCAAGAGTCTTTCAATTCTTGTTTGAGGTATCTTTGCCCATTCTTCCTTACAAAAGTCTTCCAGTTCTTTGAGATTTCTGGGCTGTCTGTCACGCACTGCTCTTTTAAGGTCTATCCATAGATTTTCAATTATGTTGAGGTCAGGAGATTGTGAAGGCCATGGCAAAACCTTCAGTTTACGCCTCCTGATGTAATCCCCCGTGGATTTCGAGGTGTGTTTAGGATCATTATCCATTTGTAGAAGCCATCCTCTCTTTAACTTCAGCTTTTTTACAGATGGCATCAAGTTACCATCCAAAATTTGGTGAAATTTTATTGAATCCATTTTTCCTTCTACTCGTGAGATGTTTCCTGTGCCACTGGCTGCAACACAACCCCAAAGCATGATTGATCCAACCCCATGCTTAACAGTTGGACAGAGGTTCTTTTCATTAAATTCTGTGCCCCTTCTTCTCCAAACGTACCTTTGCTCATTCCGGCCAAAAAGTTCAATTTTAACCTCATCGGTCCACAGAACTTGTTTCCAACATGTATCAGGCTTGTCTATATGTTCATTTGCAAAGTTCAAACGATGATTTTTGTGGTGAGGACGTAGAAGAGGTTTTCTTCTGATGACTCTTCCATGAAGACCATATTTGTACAAGTATCTCTTTATAGTGGAATAGTGTACCACAACTCCAGTGTCTGTCAGATCTTTCTGGAGGGATCGTGCAGTCAGATGTGGGTTTTTGAATTGTTTTTCTCACAATCCTGCGAGCTGTTCTGTCTGATATTTTTCTTGGTCTTCCAGATCTTGCTTTAACTTCCACTGTTCCTGATGACTGCCATTTCTTAATTACATTCCGAACAGAGGATATTGACATCTGAAAACACTTTGCTATCTTCTTATAGCATTCTCCAGCTTTGTGAGCGTCAACTATTTTCAGTTTCAGTTTTCTAGACAACTGCTTAGAAGAACCCATGGTGCTGATTGTTGGGGCAAGGTCAGATGAGTCTGGGCATTTAAAACCTTTGAGATTGACATCACCTGGTCTCCCAGACGATGATTGACAACAATCCATGACACTGGCAGGTCTCAGCTTGGCAAAGGGGGCAGCGCATGCTATAAATTCTGCAGGGTGCCCAAACTTTTGCAGACGCCATTTTTTTGTTTTCTGTTATTTTGAAAGTGTAAATGATGGAAATAAAATCTAACTTTTGTTGACATATTATAAGAATGTCTAATCTGTAATTTGATGCCTTTTGGAGATTTTTCCATCTTTCCTTGGCTTCTTTATGCACATTAATACAAATTTTTAGCTGGGGTGCCCAAACTTTCGATCCCCACTGTAGTCTTTATAACTGTAAAGGACAATTGACATCTTGAAAATCAAGCATATCCGTACCTGGAATTGATGGTTACTTACAAATACATACACAGGGCTACGACCGTATCTGTAATATATACAAATTCCTGGAAGAGGAATAAGACCACAAACTTATCAGAGTACTTTAAAGAGTAGGAGTGGAGGAAAACCAGACATCCAAAATTTTGATTATATTTCTTGAGGTAGCCTCTGTGCTCAAATAGAAGCTTCTCATAGGGCAAAATTTGGGTGACTAGTTGTGTCCATTGGATTCCACCTACTCCTCCTTAGGTACACCAAGTGATACAGGTTTACAAGCTAGAAAAAGTGTTTCTCTCAATACAACTCTCATAGACCATAGCCAGAGCTCCTCATCAAAAATGCTTAAGAGACCCACTTCTGGGGTTGCAGGCACTGATATGGAGAATATTGTGGAGAGAGTATTAACAACCTGTTGCCAATACCTGTTAACCACTGGTCAAAGCAAGATACCATGGGTGAAATCTGCCCTAGAACAGTCACATTTCGTACAGTTAGAAGAGGGTATGCGATGCGTAGCATGAAGATTAACTGGTGTTAGATACATTTGCTGAAAAAGATACAATTGGATCAACCTTTTAACAGCAGGGGGTACATGTAAATAAAGTTTTCCAGCAAGACAATATAAATATAGATTAGGGAGAGCCATACCTGCCTCAGCTTTTGGTTGCTGCAAGATAACCAGTTTTAATTTACATCTTGGCCTATATTAAGATAGTGAATAATGTATCTAGAGTTTAAAAAAAAATATTTATTTAGGAACTGAACTCCGCATAGGTGAGGTAATGTAAAAGCACTTGGGTAAAAGAATCATCTTGATAAGATTGATCCTGCCAGCCCCAATGAGGGGAAGTTTAGTCCAGGTAGTGAGTTGGTTTTAATTATGTCTAAGAAGGGATCCAAATGAACCTTTAAGGCTTCAGAGCGAGAGCGACAATGTGATAACTACACCCGAATATCTAAAAGAGGGTACCACTTTAAGTGAACCCAGCATCATTCCCTGAGAGGGTGCCTGTGGATAAAGGAGCATCAGCGCAGACTTTTGACATTTACTTTTTAGGCGCGAGTATAAACTGAATGTCTCTCTATAATGTGCATAGCCGACTGTAAAGAGACCTCAGCATCACATAGGTAAAGGATTAGGTCATCTTTATACAATCAGTGTCAGTTTTATTGCCCAGCTTAAAACCTTAAGATATGTAGTGTGCTGAAGATGCACCGCCAGTGCTTTTATAGCCACCACAGATAGGAGCGGAGACAAAGGAACGCACTGACAGGTGCTTCTATGTAATTGGATAAGAGTAGACAGCAGGCTGTTAAATAATAGGTGGGAAGTAAGGTTAGCATTCCGTATGGTAATTCATCTAAGAAATTTCTCTCCAAATCCAAAGGACCGCAGAACAGCTTGAAGGAATGGCTATCCAATAGAATTGAAGGCCTTTGCTGTGCAATAATTTGGGTTCTGTGAAGATTAATAGATCTGGTTTGGATTCAGGGTCACTGAATTGAGATGTTTGGCCAAAATTTTGTTCGTAGTAGTCTATATTCAGTAATGATATAGGGGGGAAAGATGCACATAAGCATGACTGTGCAAGAGTACATTGACAGTCAGTCTTCCCCCCCAAAAAGCTGTGGAATACACTTGAACTACATTCCCCTGCCTCTTTATTGTATATACCTGTTCAATTGTTTGGTAACACAGATTAATTGGCCAATCACATGGCAGAAACTTAATGCATTTGGGCATCT